CTAATAAAATGTCATTCTTTTCATGTACTTTTTCAAGTTTGTCTTAAAAAACAGTTGAGTTTCTTGCCTCCCATTATTCGGCTGCTCCAGAACCTCAAATAAGCTTGTTGTTGTGCGTGTTCCCTCTGTAGTTATAAAACTCACACCCAAGTAAGTTGTTTGACCATACTCAGGAGCAGAACACCAGTGCTGCTTTAACAGTGTTTATATATTTTAACTACTTTAAAAAAGGAAAAGGATTTTTCCCCTTCTGCACATAAATATTCCTGAGGAAAACAGGCTGCATTTGTATAGTGGAACCAAGAATTTGCCAAGGTATAATACTCCTAAATCAGTATCCATGTATCTACATCCTATTTCAATGTGCAGCCGCACTGATCAAAGCAGTACTAAAAGTTATAGAATCATGGACTTCTAGTTTATTTTGTTGGTTAAAACTTGATCCCAAGGCTGCCATAATCTAGTTAACTGTGTCAGAGCTGTTTGATGACCTGCACGAATTGGATCTGTCAGTTCAGCTTCTGCTACATGCATCACAGTTGATACCAACTGGCGAGCTTTTGTGCCAGATGGTCCAGAAATTGGTGAACAAGTATTACAAATTTTCTTACCTCTGTCACATTTTTCAGGAATCGGAGTGGAGGCATAGTGCCAGAACGCTATGAATGTGACTTGGCAGTGTCACTGCTCTTGTTTTGTCTGCTGGTGGTTAGAGTTTGTCAGTGGAATTACCATTTAATTTTGCACGGCCACTTAATTCAGTTTAAAATCTAAACCCATGCAATATATATTGCAGTTCTTGGTCAGAAACATCTCCTAAACTGCGAACAAACCGCTGTTTCCTTCTGGATAGGAGGTGGTGGTGGTGTCTTTCCTCACTTACAGAACGCTGGAAGTAGATTCTCCAAAGTCAAACTTCCATTTGCACATACGTACGGGTATAAAACAGTGCACGTGTGCCAGGAGAGAGGCTGATTTACCATCTATGCAGCTATGTTTTACCTATATAGCTTCTGTTAGGTACGCAGTTATCTTTATGGTGGTAATAAGAGTAGTAGCTATTGGCAAGAGGCTAGGAAGTCAGATCCCATGCTCTCTGTGAGAATTTTTGTAGAATTCAAATAGGTAAACAATTGCAGTATTGAAGATGAATATATTTTTAAAAAAAAATCCTAAGCCCTAGCACTTCATATTGAGGGAGGAAATGTCACTTTAAGTCAAAGCTTTTCTTTTAGCTTGTGGAGGAAGGTTTGTTACGTTTCTGGTGGGTTTTGGTTTTGTCCTTTCCTGAGTGTTTCAGTGGGGTGGCTTGATCAAATGATGTGTGCTTTGCAAAGACACTAATTGCCTGACGTATGGCAAGAGTGACTTTCGGGTTGTGATTTAATGTAAGACTGATGGGGGCTTTTTTCTTTTTAAGCTGTATCAGCTGGAGTAGTTACCACAAGAACCTGCTAGCCAGCAGCGACTATGAAGGCACCGTCATCCTTTGGGATGGATTCACAGGACAAAGATCCAAGGTCTACCAGGTAACATGCAATCAGTGAGCAACGCTTTCCCACACCATAGACCGTGCTGGGGGACCAGTATTCAGTCTGAGATTCTGCTTCTAGTCCAGAAACATGCTTTTATGTTCCACAGGGTGAAAAGGATGCTACTCCTGTTTGGTAAATGTGTCTCCTCCACGCAGCTTTATTGGGCTGTAGTCCTCTGAGGGAGGCAGCTATATCTTCTTGTCATGGTCATGAGGCAGTTGACGTTTTCTTGCTGCTGCTTTTGGGTAGGGAATCTGCACAGGGAGAAATGAGTTGCCAGTTGTTTGTCTTGCCTTTCTTTAGAAACCTCTGTCTCTCCATACCTGTTCCACTTCAGTCTTTGTCAAAAGCCTTTTGTAAAATCCTGCAGTGATTGCTGCTGCAGGTGCTTGTAAAGGAGAAGAGCAAAATGCAGACTTCAGTGTCGAGGCTGGCAGAACAGAGCAGTAGGCAGAGCCCTTCCTGGTACAGTCCTGTGCTCAGCAGAGCAGCATACACATGCAAGTGTGCTGAGCTCAAGAGTGAAGCCTGATTCAGGAAAACTTTCTGGCATTTTGTTTTTTTCATGCAATTTTAACATTGTATTTCTATGTGATGGATTCTGAGAGGCTTGTGATCAGAACAAGGAGGTTGCAAGAGAAGATGGTCTGTTTGGGGAGAGGCTGGGAGGGCTGCAGGCTGTTGTGTAGGTAGCATAGTGCATTGAAACTGGTCAGTGATAATGAATGGACTGCAGAATAGCCTTCAGTTGTCCCTTCTTGAGAGTTCAACATAAGTTTTCATTCCTATTTAAGCCTTTGTTTACATCTCCATTGTGTTTTGGCCATTTTATAATGCTTATTTTCACTAATCCTTTGCATATCTCAATTAAAAAGAAATTATACTGGACAAAATCTTGTCTGTTTTCCTCGCAAATATATTTTGCATTTCTTTATGAGGCTGAATAATGAACCTGGAGGGGACCAGCTGTTGCTTATGTTAAAACAAACTCATTTTGCTTCCTATCAGATTACTTGAATTTTTTATTTGGATTTGCATAGAGGCATGCATACTGACATCTGCTTTGCATGTATTAGAAATCCTTTAGTAACTTTGTCCTGGTGAGCTTTTCATGTCGTCATCTTGCAAGGCTTTAAACAAAGGGTTTGACTGAATTTCAGGTTTCATTCAATGTCATGTTTTGCTTCCATGTGGGATGTGCCAGTGCAGCAAATATATCTCTTATTTGTTTTGGGGAAGAGTGTGCAGCCATGTAAGAGTATTTGAGTGGAAAACCACAGGATTAGACACCAGAAATTTTGTTTAACTCAACAAGAAGAGGAGGATTTCCTGGACTTTCAGAGAGGAGGTGTTTGAAATGACTTTGAACGGGCATCTTAGCGGTATTAGGAGATACCATGATCTGCTAGAATAAGAAGCAGCACACAGTCAAACCACAGCCAGTCAAATTGTGCTGCAAACACAGGGCTTTAATGTATATTTCCTGAAATAATTTTTTTCCTTTCAAGTAAAAAAAGAAAAAAATCTGTTTTAGTTTTTACAATTGCTGTTCTACTGTCTTCTGCTTTATGGCATGCCTAGCGTGCTACAAGCATTGGTCTGATTGGGGGAAAAGATATTTTTTGAGAAACTGCTTAAACACAACAACCTTCCCTGTCCAGGACTCTCCTGACAATTTATACGAAAGCATGTGTGTTTTTCTTTTACTATTTTATCAGATTAGAGCTCACTACTTCGTAATATTTTTTTTTTGTTGTTTCTCTAAACAGGAGCATGAGAAAAGGTGCTGGAGTGTTGACTTTAACTTGATGGACCCAAAGCTATTGGCTTCAGGCTCTGATGATGCCAAAGGTATTATTCTTTTTCAGTGTCTGTGCAGAAGGCTTATGCTCTGCATATTCCCTTTGAGGAACAAAAATGTGATATTTCAAGTAGCTGATTCCTCAGCTGCCTTCAGTATTGTAGTTATCATGGTAATGTGTCAAGATATTACTGAACTGTTCAGATCTTAGCAAAGGAGAGGCTTTGTTTGGATTAAGATTTCTCGGTGCAATGTTCACACTTTTGGGGTAATATGCTATCTAGCTAGCATTTTCCAGGACACTAAACAAAGCAAAATGTGTTGTAACATTAGTTAAGCTTGTTGAGTTAAAGCCTTGGGGCCTTTCAAAAGAACAGCATGTATTTATATTTCAAAAATGAGATTGTTGGTGAAAAGCAGAGGTTAAAAATGCCTGCTGCTGTTTTACCTGTAGCTCTGATTATTAAAAGACTGCGCACAATGAGAAGCTTCCCGCTTTCATGATGTGCAGTGTGTGTCTCTGAGCTTAACAGTGTTGGGTGGTGGACTGAATGGGAGTGCTGGGAGCAACTCTCAGCTTTCCACACTCTGGGGTCCATTTGGCAAAGGACTTTTGGAGAGAACCCTTAAGACAAGGCCTTTCCCAACATACTGGTAGATAAATGTTCCTCTTCTTAGAAGAAATGAGAAACTTCTAAAGAAAAGCATAGCACCGAGTGATATGTAGTAGTCTTCATCCCTAACAGACAAGACTTTATCTGTAACATGTTCACAAGATCAAATTAGAGTTATTAAGCAGCAAGAGCTTTAGAGTTCATTTCATAGTCAGTGGGGATCAACTCTTGCAGATGGGCTGATACAGCTGGACAGAGCTCTTCATGCTTTGCTTCGAAATAAATTAATTTTTCATAAACATTAAACCTTGCAAGCTGCTCCCCCCTCTAAAATGCTTTTAAATTCTGTTTCAAAAGAAAGCTGTATTAGAGTTCCTCAATTGCATTTGGCAGTCTTAATGTAGCTCAATGTACAAAATGCAGCTTTTATAATTAAGGTAGGTTTTAAATGTTTTTTTATATACTTCCATCCTCTCTTTGGTAGAAGTCAAGAGTGTTTTCTGTGTGCTTAAATGCAGCGGGGGTGTGCATTCACCTTGTAAATTATCAACCTCTTCATCACATTGCTCCCCACTCACGCTATGCATTTGAAAAAGCTTATCTGCCAGGTAGACATGTATTTATTAGCATGTTAACAAGTTGTCCAGTTTTGCAAAGCCAGCTGCAGGCAGCGCTCCTGTCTCTAGTTTAGCAGTTGACTTCAGTAATGGTTTCTAAAAGTGTAGTGTTTACTTAGAAATTATTGTAATAGTCAGCAAATCTACATAACTTGCATTTCAATTCACAAAGGTCTTCTGAAGGTCTGTGGGGGTTTGGTGAATAAAACTGGGCTGGGACACTTTATCCTTTACTTCTAGCATGGTTTGCCTGTGATTTGCATATGTAACGAGTCCATTAGAGACAAATGGAGTCCTGTGTGGAAGTGTTTGAAATAAGCACAGATTTTAGAAGTCTTTAAGGTACAGAGCAATAGTAGCAAATGGCAAATTAATGTTATAATGTCCACCATCCACTTCAGTGATCACATTGAAAGGGTTAAATGTGAGGAAAAGGTAACACCTAATACGAGTTGTTTTAACTCAAACCTGCCTAATGTAAATTTTTGTCTTTCCACTTACATATTCAGGAATGTTTAGTTGAGTTCTGGACAGCTTTGGGTAACATAATACATGTTTTGCCAGGTACAGCATCTCATGGGAAATCCAGGTTCTATGTACATTTCCTGCCCTCTTTTTACTTCTCTACTTGTGTGATGCCACACCGGGCTTTCTCACAAGAAATCTCAGTGCTGATAGATACTGGGGTGACCAGAGCGATTGGAGCTTATCTCAACATGCTTCCCCTGAAAGCACGGGTATAACATCTTCCTGTCAAATGATCAGAACAAGACAGCAAAAAAGTGACAGCTTTGCCAGTTCTTCCCGATTACCTGTGTATCTGCCTGTCTCTCTTCAGTCTTTTCAAGTTGGTAGCTAATTTTTAAAGTACTTGGTATGCTCAGTAGGCATGTATTGGGGAAGGAGCTTTTAGATGAAAAATCCTAGCATCAGTGCTTCACAGCTGTCTCTGCCAGGGCTCAGGCACAGCAAAGGGGGTGCTAACAAATGGAGTGCTGTTAGGGATAAAATTACTCTGATACAATTAGAAACAGCATCCTTGGGCCTCGGGTCCTGTGTTGTCCCCATCGTTAGATGAAGATAATCCAGGTTGCTTATTTGTGGAAGATCTTTCTACTTTAACAGCAGATAATGAGAGCATAAAACCATTATTGCATTTGAAGTAACCACTGTGTGTATGAAAACCTCACTTTCATCCACAGTTGTCATGCCCTTCCCTTTTAAAGGGGCAAAGGTAGTTGTGTATTTCTATAGGGACCTGATGGTGTACGCCAAATAGGCAGCAGTGAGCAAAATTAAAGTGTTTACTTGAGCTACAAGCAGCTTGGGGAAACAGCACGGTCTTAATTTCAGTTCTTTTATGCACATAATAACGGCAGGAGCTATGATTCTCATGTAAGTAGGAAAGGGTGAATTTCTGCTATTGGAGGAGAAAAGATTATTTAATTTTGTGAAGGCAAAATGATGCCATCACAGTGCCAGGATAGGGCTGGAGCTAGTGCGCTTAGCTAATGACTTACAGCTGCTTCTCAACCCAACATCCCTGTCTGTTCTGGATTGGGAATGTAGTTTAATGGCCATGATCAAGTTAGCAGATGAGATAGAGCAAAATATTTTGTGAAGCCATGTGGGTAGAATTTAAGTCTCCACTGGGGTAGAGACCTGTTTAGGAGTGAATAAAGCATTTGTTCTCTGCTCTGGGGTTGCTATTTGAAGATCTCTGAAGCTCAAGGAGATACAAGCAGTACTGACAAATTCAGATGAAGAAAGAGTCCTGGTTTTATGTCCTTTCTGTAAGCTGTAGTCCCTTCACTATTCCCAGCTCAAAATGGAGAGGTGGAGCGGAACAGGAGCACCTGATTGCTCTGAGCCATAGCAAGAGTCTACTTTTCATTGTCTGATGGTAAGGAGGATTGCAAGCAACTGTTTCATTACATCTAAGGAAAGTCATTTCCATGCTGCTTTGGTAAGTGAGACCACTGGTACCAGTCCTACAGCTATATTTTTATAGTGCTCCTGAATTCAGAGGAACAGCAACACAGGCTTGCAGAGTTGGCTTCGTTAAAAAAGCAGCATGGCCTTCTAGAGAGGGAACTAGCCTGAGAGCTGCAGATCAGAGTTTGCTCCTCAGCTTTGTTGAGGACTTCCACAGAATTGTTTGGGGCTTCATTTTCAGGGATACTGCACTCCTGCAGCTTCTGCTGACTTTAACTGGAGGTATAGGTGTGTTTTGCTCTTAAAATATCACGTTGAATTTTCAGTTTGCTCATTTGTCTGACTAAAAGAAGTTTGATAATTTCCTGGAGATTTGTGGGGTTTATTGGATTCAATTGGGAATGCCTTGAAAGGTCAAGATGATGTTCATAGTTAAAATACCAACCAAAATATCTGTCAGGCTGCGTCTTATGCAAGGAGGAATACCCTGTGGTCACTGCCTTCTAACAGTCAACAGTTTTACATCATCCTCCTGACCTGCACAAGGCAGTGGATGAAAAATTTTGCCTAGCAGGGACAATTCAGCAGCTTCCTTCTTTCCTAGGGATTCCTCAAATCTGTGCAAACAAATTTCTGGTAGCAGTATCCTTTTCCTGGTTTACAGCTTTTTCAGAGTAGCAGCAGCTTCTCCGTCTCACAAACAGATAAGAGTTTCAAGAATGACAGGCTGGGTGAAATACCCTTACTATCAGTGTACCGACTGTGTACCTCAACACCTTCAGCTATTGCGGTACAGGCTTCTGCCTCTTTTAGTCAGTGTTTAGACATGGAGCTGATGTATAGAAAATTAATATATAAACTTACACATTTGGTGTGAAGCTCCAGTAAAAGTAAAAAAAAAATAAAAAAAATCTTGAGAAGACCTATGTATTTTAAACAGAAAAAGCTGTTCTGGAGGCATCTTCTTACTTGTTTGAGGAGTAGACATTTGGCCACAGAGATGTGTGTGTCTCAACAGCTGCAAAATTAGGAAACATATGGTTTCAGAACATGTGTTTTAGAAATAGTCAATCTCAGATGGTTGCTTGTCTCATCAACACAATTCTAGGTGTTATCAAGACATCTGTACTTTGTATAATTACTGCCTCGACCTCAGCAAAATTGCTGAAAGCTACAGCAAATAAAGTCTACCCTTATGAATTATGCTTTATTAACCTGTCAGTTCTTTTTAAAAAATAATGGGCAGTTCCAGGTAAAACTTGACATGTTTCATTACGTGTTGTTATGTGTCATATATATCCTTTTTTATGGCACTGACTAAGATATAATTGGAGCCCAGCGTATCCCACAGCAGTTAGATCACAGAAATTGCAGACTCTAATCTGTGTCTGTCAGTTGTAATGAATATTATGATGGCTTTGAACACGCAGGTTGACTCTTCACCAGATTAAATGGCTCCGCTTATGACCTGAAAACTTGAATGAATAAAGGAGCCAAGTTGAAACTGAGCCCTCAATTAGCTTTTGCTACAGATCTGAGACCAGATGGCCATTTGTTTTAGAGGTGGTGTCAAGGAGAGACTTTGCTGTTTGGATGCAACTTTAGGTATTGATACCTGGTTGGAAGGCTTCAAGACAAGCCTGCTATGGTTTTCATACTAGATTTGGGCAGAATGTTGCTCTGAACTGTGAGATCATGTAACTTCCCCTCACATCTCAAACTGAAGCAGTGTTGTCTTAACAACGATGTCCTCTTGTAATCATGGTATTATTTACTTCCTACACCATCTCATCCATAAACTTGATGTTCTCTGCTGCCACTGCAACTTAGACTATACATCTCGTGGTGTCTGTTCATTAAAGAAAAATGCGAATGTTTTATTGTTTTGCAAAATTGTCTTTCCTGGCTCTGTTTCCCTCCCCACGCCCAAGTGCAAAACACAATGGAGGAGTTATATCATCCAGTCTCACTTGGGAGGGGAGAGCATCTTAAGCCACGCTTGCAAAGCTGTTGGTTTCTTTTAGCAATGTAGCTAGGTGTTTAGGATGAATGAGAATGGATTTTTATTTCTGAAAACCAACAACAGGGTGGGTGCTGTTTTCACTGAATTTTACATAATGGTTATGTGCAAATACAGTATGCATCAGTGTTTGTATTTCTGGTGTATGTGTGTGCTGCTTTATAGTGGTTCCAGACATCTGTCAGATACCCACACAGTGCTGTATGTCAAATGATTCCTTAGTGAGCTCTGAGCAGTTGTGTATTTCCTTCATCCTTGAAGCAGTTCTCCTAGGTATGGTCAGAAACAGCGCAATCTTACTGCTTTTCATTGCTTGCCCTACTACTAAAAGGTAGGTGCACTGGAACGAACCTGCCAGTGTTCCTCCTTTTCCTTGACCATCTAAAACATCCTTGAGTAATCCATGTGGAAGCCTTGCTGCTGCTTTGAAGCTCCTAGGAAAGACTAACCAAGAGGTTGTACTGAGTGGCCCTCTGATGGTGGGGACACACACCATAAGACCTCATACCTCATTTAATGACCACCGTGGATAACAAGATTCCTGTTCTTTTGCCATTTTTGCTCACTTCTCCAAAGTGAGCTTTCTGTAAAAAGACAGCAGAGGACCCACTGGCCACAGATCTGAGGAAGCCCAGGCAGCTTGTGGCAGCTGATTAGGGGAATAAGCCTTCATATAGCTCCTGCGTGTTCAAACATTGGCCTCAGCTTGCTCCGCCTCCTGCCTCAGAATGCTGATCGTGATACTCAAGTGCAGCACAACCCACTTGTCAAGAAAAGGGGAGAGGGAGAACATGTAAGTCTGCCTTGTAGGCATCAACAGGGCTTGATGCCAGTGTGCTGCCCCTTCACCCGGACCAAGGGCAAAGTGCTTCATCTGTAGCTTTTAATAGTAAGGTTGGCTACATGGGGAGCCCCTGGCACTCTTCATCTTTAAGGTTAAATGGTACTTGAAGTGTTTGTAAAGGGTGGGGAAGGCTGTCTTTTGAAAAGCCTATGGTGTTTTCTGTTGGTTGCCCTGTGAAGCACTGAAGTGAGTACTTGGAGGGGAAAGCTCATTCTGTACTGCAAAGCTTAATGAATGTTCACATGGTAGTTTCGTAGAACAGTAGAGTTCCTTGTACCAAGGAAATATGTCATTGCAGGAAGCCAGCATACCAATTTCTTCCCTGTCTGTGCCAGTTTCTTGAGAATAAAACAAGTTGTTCTCACTCACTGTGCTCAAGCATACAATTAGGTATATTTATTCTGTGCAAAGTAGTTCTGCTATGGAGCATGGAGCTCTTGCGTCCCAGCTAAGGGTCAAGGAATAAAAAGGATGCAAGCCTTCCTGCTCTTGGCTATCTGAATCTGCGGTCCAATAGCCTTAAATGCTGAGATTCTAACATGTGGTTAGTCACCTGCTCTGATGTTCTCAGTAGTGTGGAATGTGGAATTTCAGCATCTCCTGTGTGTATGGAGGTGGGCAGAATATTTACAGTGCACGCTTGAGAATGTTCTTAAGCTTACCATGCATCTCAAGCCATCAGCAGCAACTGAGCCTTTATAATCACTAACATCTTGGCAATTGAGGCTTTTCAGAATCTTATTTTATGCATTTCGGATTATGTTGATTTTTTTGTTATTGTTGGTTGTTGTTTACTCATTTATCTTTTTCTGTTTCTCTAGTGAAGCTGTGGTCGACCAACTTGGACAACTCAGTAGCAAGCATCGAGGCCAAGGCTAATGTGTGTTGTGTCAAATTCAGTCCCTCTTCTAGGTATCACCTAGCTTTTGGCTGTGCAGGTAGGTAAAAGGGGGTTTGGACAAAGAGATACTGTTTCCTCCTTTGTTTCTTACCTCCCCCCCCCTCCCCCCAAGATGTGAGGTTGGCTGCTGTGCCCAGGACCAAGGTGTCTTTGCAGTTAGAATGCCTCTGAGTAAGATTTTTCTACTGTGCAGTCACCCAGAAGACATCATGATACCCAAGTGTCAACTTCATCCTGCAGCCTGACTTTTTAATTTGGGTGCCTCTGTCACAGATAAAACCTAATGGAAGCAAGTTGCCTAATGTCTTTATTGAGCTCACTAAGGCAACCAGGCAAAGCTCAGCTTTGAGAGTCTCGTAGCAAAGTGAATGCGTTAACATGTGATAGTTGTTCTTTCTGATTTATAACGTTGCTCTATAAATACTACAAAGCTATACTGGCAATTTTAACTGGTTTTACTTGAGGCATGCTATAAAACAGTGGTTGTGTGTGTTTCCCATAGCTGCAACTACAATCCCTGTGGGCGGGCTCATGTTTTCCTAGGTTGGGTAAAGCATTGCTGTTAATGGTTGTTTTTTGTGGTTTTTTTTGAAGTAGTCAGTGGGGAAGGCACAATGAGCCTTTTATTCACTTAGGTTAAATAGTTCTTGGTGATAATACAAAGATTTGAGAGCAGAGCGGGTATCGCTTTGGGAGGAAACTGTATCATGCTATGCATGCAGCAACTGAAACTCTGAGATACTCTGAAACTGAGGTACCTGTAAATGTTTAACCAGCTCTGCATTTTCTTTCTCCTTGGGGAGTTTTAATGCAGTTGTAACTAGATGTTGTGATGATGTTTGCTATCTCTGGACTTCAGGAGATAAGTTGATCATTCTTGCAGCCACTGGTTCACCATTTCATTTAGGTGTTCCTATTTCCAGGCTGGTTCTACTTAGGAGGAAAAAATAAATTTGCATTTTGATACACTGCAAAAAATAGATTCAAGTTGGAGTATAAAATATTGACTTGTTTGACAGGCATCTTGCTGAAGTTTAGTGAATTACATGCAAGAATAGAATTGAATTACAATGCTTACTAGCATCATTCGTATGAAAGGGGCTATCTGTGAAAAGCTCTAGGGATAGATGAGAGCACCGGCTCCAAGAGGATCAGCTACTGATTAAAATAGATATGTAAAAGCACCACAAAACAGAACTCTTCCCAATAAATCAGTGACTGGGATTCCTTTCCATCTGAAAGGCGGAGGGGGGATAATGCACGGATAAATCTATGAAGGTTTTCAGAGCTGTAGGGCATGTGGGATGGAAGCAGATGGGAGTGTCTCTAACCCCACACTTATGTCTAACAAACCATGATGGGCTCATCTTCAACAAGTGCGTTTGGGAAAGAATCATTAGCAAGCACTAGGAGTTACATGGAGGTTTTAAATGACTACATGTGCATTTTTATGATTTAGAGAATGCTGAGGGGTAAAATGGTATTTGTACTGGCAAAGAAGGCATAGGAGGGAGACAAGATAAAGTTTTAAAAGTGTTTACATCTGCTTGATGCTTGGTAATTGAGTCTCTAAATAAAAATTAAAATGGGTATTTAACTATGATTGCTGAAACAATTACATGGAGTAATTGAACTGATGGGAATAGCTTCCCACAAAGGAATTCTAATTGATCTTTCAGCCATAAATACATGTGAAAAAATGGCATATGAAATTAAAAGAAATACTGGGGTCTTGAAAGATGTTATTTCTGAACTCCTAAAAAAAGAAAATCAGAGTAAAGAAATGAGTTAGTGTCTACTTTTGTACTCCATATAGTCCCAACAGTCCTGTTTCATGTGTTATGATGGAGACAAAGGTTTTTCTCCTCCATCAGTTTTAACTGGTCTTGTTTACTAATTTAACTTACTGTATAAAAAAAGCGATCTAACTTGTAAATGGTGTGATTTGTCACACGGGCTGTAAAATTAATAAAGGAAGAGTCAAAGCTGGTTTCCCTGAGTAGTATTAAAAAAAAAAAGAAGGTGGATTGGGCACACTGACCTGACCATTCCTGTTTGCCCCCCAGAAGGAATAGAGATGAGCGATGCAGAACACTCAACACTAATTCAGTGACCAGTGTAGTGGGCAATTTTAGAAAGCTGTCCTAGCTCTGCCTTGGCTTGTTCACATGCTCAGAGGATTTTCAGTTTTGAAAATTGTTTCAATTACTTGTTCAGTGCTTCAGTCAATGGTAAAAGAGCCGAGACTTCCTAGCATTGCATGCCCAACACAGTTTTGTACAGTATTTAGGCAGAAGTGCTGCTCCTGTATACACTCTCTCGTTTTATTTGTTGATTTGATAGAACTTAATGCTATATATGTGTATACATATGTTTATAGTTTGACTTGAGATAAGCAATTGATGAAATGGTTCGTGAGGGGGGGAAGTGTTGGTACTTGAGATTTAAAAGGAGGAAATAAATTGATTTAATATACCATTATTAACTTGCTAAACATACATGTTTCAGTTGTCCCCTTTTTCTCTGTGGAATAGCTTGCAAGCTACCATGCCTTGCTTTAGCATGTCTACATGTCTAAATTTTTTCAGTGTTAATATTTTGAATTTTTTTTAATTTTCATTTCTTGTTTTTATTTTCTCTTGAGGAGGATTTTTCTTAACAATGCATACAGCTGAAACCACTTTTCATGAGGTCTTGTTCTTTCACACCTTGCTTAACAAAACATTTTCCTCTGCCCTTGACACATGCATCTTTCTCACTTGCATCCATCTATTAGAAACCCTCTTTGAAGTGGGTTTTCCTAATCAGATGCTTCAGCTAGATCAGCATCTCTTTGAATCTCTGTGCTGGTTTCCCCTTTGCATTCTCCACAGAAATAGGATGGCTATCTTAAGGTCTTTTCTAGCCATCTCCAGTTTATGTATCCCTTCTCATTTGTTAGTAAAATCTTGACTGTTGGCTCACCTCTGCTGGTGATGCTATATTGTGCGATGGTAAAATATTCAGAGAGGTACCTTTGTGCTTTCTCTCACTTTCTCCAATTTTAGAACAAGTCCCTTTTGCAGAAAAATAGGAAGGAAGATACTTAAAGGTCCTGTAGAGGTCTACCAACATGTGGCATGAATTATGTGAGCTGATGCAGCAGCCTGTTGAAGTGTTCTCATTGCCTTTTTGTCCCCTGTGTGCCTCTATCTGCTGAGGACCTCCAGTTCTCAAACCAGGGGCTCTTTGGAGTGAAGGTCACTTTTTCATGTCCAGTGCTGAGGGTGATGGTAGCTTGACCCTCAGCTGGGTCACTCAGCTGTACTGCAGTGTAGGTAGCCACAGTCACATATCTACAGCTTCAGGGCTCTATAAGTAATCCTGAGCCAGAGATCTTGGTTTTAAAAAAGCATTTCCACCTGCATCCAGTTTGCATGCTGTGTTGTCAAATGAAAGGAGTGAACTGAAGGACTGTGGTGATGGATTTTGAAGCAAGACCAGTCTGTAAACCCTGTGGCCCAGTCAGTGAGATGGGGATTATTGCTCTAGCAGCTTTGGCTGTGATTTTTCTCACTGATGAGATTATGTTGACTCTACTAGACTACTCACTGCTGTTCATATCATATTGCTCCTCTTTCATGGAGAACGTATCTTTCCCCCTTGCGCTGAGTTCCTCTGCAGGTCCCTGCACATCATTGGCAGCAGCAGGAGAACATGAAATGATTGCCTTGAATGATGCCTCCTGAAAAAGACATGATGTGAGTTGGAATTGGGATTTATTTGGATTTCTTAGTCAAAGCCTCTTTGCTTCGGTATGCCTGTTGGTAGAGTAGTAATCATGGAAGGAGTTGCCATGTTGCTTTGATTTAGGTGGTCAAAAGTGTTGTTAGATTGTGTATCTCTATACAGAGCACTCTTCTTTTAGTAGAGTACTGTGTTGGCTTCAGATGTCATAGAAAACCATGCTTTGGTTGCCACTGTAGAAGCAAATCCCAGGATTACCATCTAATATGGATGATATATATGTTTCTTTTCTGGGCTCTTCACTCTGAAAGCTTTTAGATGACCAAAAGTTCATTTTGGTATCTTAAAACAGAACAAATGAGCTATAAACTGGAAATAGAGCCTATACAAGAGAGGAACGGGTATTTGGTTTGGGAAATAATTCTCTTAAAACCAGACAGGCACTTCAGGTAAGAGGGAAGCTAGTGTGTCTGGCTGCAGCCTGATAAAATCTGTTGCAGTGGAGAGGGCACATAAAGAAGAAAAGATCCCTTTTGTCTGTTACTTTAATAAAATATTCTATTTGCATGCTTACTGAGTTGAAACATTGGGCAGTATAAACTGCAATCACTGCCAAATACAAAATCAGGTAATTTTGTGGTCTTTCCTCTTTTTAAAAATAGATAGGGTTTTATCCTGAAATTAGCTATATAAATCATGACTGAAGTTATTATTGTTCTGCCTCAGCAATAGCACTGATGCCCTCAACCCATATATTTTCCAGCAGCACCATTTCCCTGCTTTAAAAAAAACAAGAGCCTGAAAATGCATGCAGTTTGCAGCTTGAATGTCCAAGTTGTGCAGTCTGGGTGAGATCAGACTGTCTGCTAACTCTAGTGAGCTAAGCGTAGCTATTGATAGTAGTGATGCTTTATTCTCAGCATGCTATAATACTGTCAGCAGCTACCACTGACCTTTTATTTCCCATATATTATGCAGAGATCATGCCATCAAAACTTCAGATTCCTGAGTTCTTACACTGGATGCATCATCTTCTCGCATACTATATTTTTCCCCTGTAGGACCCACAAATCTAGTAAGTTTGATTGGGGGATGAGAGGGATTTCTCAGTGCTGCAGAGATACAGGGCAGAGACTACCTGCTCTCCAGGAGCTTCACAAAATAAGTGAAAGCAGCAGACAAGTACAGATGGACAGAGGAGAGCAACACAACAGCTGCAACATGGTCTGAGCTTAAGGTTTTGCTGGGTTAGTTTTAACCTTGATCAGGTCTCCAAATTACTTCACTGTGTTGCCACAAATGCTTGACAGC